GCAGTGATTTCTTAAAAAGAAAAGATTATTTTCTGCGTTGCGTATAAATTGGACTGAACTAACTCAGTGGTTTTCAAACTTTCTGTAACTCTCTCCCCACTTTTTCAGTAAATAATTGTTGCGCTCCCTCATTTTTCGTAACAATCTATTTTCATATATACTGTCCTTATAATTTATATAATGGCCTACAAAACAATATACCTTATTTAATAAAGTATATTTTTCGTCGGTACTCGACTCATGTCGAGACGTATTGTCTTGAGTGTGGATAGATGTTTGGCATTCGTACCCGATTCGTTCGGTCGAGGGTTGTGAATTAGGTATAACCGTTTTGTTGATTCATTATTTTCGACATCGATTTGACTTTTTTTTTGTATGTATTAAAAAATGATAATTTGGTAAAAGTTGGTTGGCACGCCCCTCTTGCAATAACCTCAGTTAGTGCAAGAGCAGAGATGTGATTAGTTAGCGCTAGCGCAATGTATTTCAATCGATGGAGCCCGCCCCACTGATTGAAATACATTGCGCTAACTGATCATATCTTTGCTTTATCTGTATGATTAAACTTCATTCCATAGGAAATGATATATATATTTTTTTTCATAATGAGCTTGATGTTTTAACTCAACATATTTCTAAAAACATATTTGATTTATTGTTGTTTTAAAAGTTCACCTTATTAAATTAAAACTTTTCTAAATTACATATCAGTCTATAAATTATCCTGTCAATCGCTGAAGATATATTTTTATTAAAATACTGTACTAATTAATATATATTTGTATTATATTGTATTATTAATAAACACAATTTTGCTTAATAAATCCAATGATATTTTAATTTATGTAATAAAGTTTTATTATTTTTATAGATTTTAAATATTATTATTAATTATTATGACTCATCGACCCTTAAATAGACAGAAGTGACGGATTTCAGCTCATTCAAAGAACTTATTTTACTTTTTCTCCTAGTGAAGCCATGAAACAATAACATTTCGGAAAAAAAAACGTTCATTTTAACGCGTCAAAACATAAATAAACACATAAATAATAGTTAAGAAGAATAATAATCAATTTTTGAAAATAACGAGAAAAAACTAGACACATCCGGATTTAAATATTTTTTACAGATTAATTCTGCCATGTATGGTTTTAAAACTATTAATATTTAAAAGTGAACATGGACTTTATGAATACTCTGTATAATTATTACTAAATTTATTATTTTATATATTCAGACAGGAAATGATATTGNTCGTCTATTAAAAGTCGCACAAACCGGAGACAAATACACCATAGTAAATAAAATGGAAATAATTTAATGTTCTTTGGGCGGCCCAGTACCATTTGATCCACGGACCGGTACCGGTCCGCGGCCCGGGGGTTGGGGACCACTGTCATAGAAGATAGGAGAATGAGAACCAGACCTGCCTTGAGCATTAAGGTGATTTCACTTAGTAGTGAGTCTCTGAGACATAGTCTAGTCCCAAATACGGTTTTGCCGTTTTACTTGTTTGGATAATTTTTTAAAATCATTTATACTTTAATCATCTTAATCATCCTCAGCAGGATAATTCAAAATAAATCAGCAAACACCTTTTAGGCTGCTGGAATTCGCTGTTATATAGCAAACGTTATTATGTAGCAAAGACATTTCAACCTAGTCTAATAGGCCATCTTCAGGCTAACGATCTTTCTTGAAACATATTTTACCGTTAAATATCGTTCCAAAATAGAACGCAAAAAAGAATAACAACGTTTAAATATCTAAAAATATAAAACTAGCTGCTACCCGAGACTTCGTCCGCGGAGGTTTTGCAAGCATTTACATTCAATATTTCAATAACCATAGTAATTGTTATACAGGTTGGGCCAACGAAAACGAAACGGAAGAGTTATCGTGTTCGTCCAAGCAAATCGCTCGGACAGGTCGATTTTATTTTCAAGGGGACATCTGCAATAAAGTTTTTGCGATTCTGAATACAACAGACAAAAAAATTTTAAAAACTCATTCATTTTTTTCCGAAATAAATGTTTGTGTAGTTAATAAAAAATGAATGAGTTTTTAAAATTTTTTGTTGTCTGTTGTATTCAGAATCGCAAAAACTTTATTGCAGATATCCCCCTTGAGAATAAAATCGACCTGTCCGAGCGATTTGCTTGGACGAACACAATAACTGTGCCGTTTCGTTTTCGTTGGCTCACTCTGTATAACACCTACCGCTGAAGAGAATTGCCGAGAATCAAACGAACTATTTTCAATTTGATCCATTTTCTGGAACGTTTATAATCGTTCTATAATCGAACCAATATGCAATAACAAATTCGAATTTAAAATGGTTCGAACATTTTTAAAATCGAAATAGATAAAAATATTTATAACAATGTCTGAAATGTTATCAATTTAATACACCTAAGTACTC